AAACCCACCTATTCACCCGCACCACACTGGTTAGAAAGGACACCCATAAATATAAGTGCCCATGGGGCCAAAGGCAGTCAGAGCGAGTTACAGTCGGAGCCAGTTGCAGTGAGGTTGCGACCAGGAGTTAAGAGATTTCTGACATAACACAGTTTGCCTACCTGAGGAAAATAATAATAATAATAATAATCCACTGAAGAAAGACTCTGACAAAATCCTTGTGCCGTTCTGGAAAGTACAAATCACAGTACTTGAAGATAAATCCAGTTGTCAAGTTTGGCCACTCTTTAAAGAAGTTACCCAAAATTTTCATTCCATCACCAATTATTAAAACAGGTTGGGAAAAGAAGAAAAAAGAAAGAACTATATATATATATATATATATATATATATATATATATTTGGGGGGATTTTGATATAAACATCATATCGTGACTTATTCGGGTGTCATCCATTTTAGTTTTCAATTTTATGTGCACGTGTTCATCTCCTTGGCTTAGCGTGGTTGAGATACACCAGTGGAAATTCGGCTTGACTCTCTTAAGATTAAAATCACAACGTGGGTAAGAGGTCACAGTTGAAGAGGTCAATTTAAAGACCAGTTACTGTGTCAAATGCCATCAATGACTGATGAGTGGGCTGATGGCTTGTTCTCTGATATCAGGATTGATCCTGACAAAGCGAGCAGACCAGGATAGACTCGGAACGCTGCCATAACTGGTGGCCAAAGCAGGCCCTGGCCCGGAACACCATCATATTTGTTGCCATGACCAAGGATGTGACCATGAATGACCACATAAATTGGTGCAGTGACCGAGTTCCAAGTTTGGGTGAGATGTGGAAGAACTGAGGTGCTGGCTAGTGGCAGTTAACAAAAGCTAATTAATCTATGTATTGACTGAAAGAGAGACAGTATGCATTGCTTTTGATGCTGCGACAGGAGCACTATCAGAGTTTATTGGCAAATTATTAGAGAGGGATCCACAGTTGACATGTAGGAGGTTAGAGGAACGCTTGAGAGCAGAGTATGCAGATGAGGGAACAGCAGTAGTGGCCATGAGAGGCCTCATGAAACTGGTCCAGGAAAGGAATGAGGGACCAGAGGAACTGGGGAAAAGAGCGGAGAAACTAGCCTCTCTGGCTTTTCCCGAAGAAGTTAGAGAGAATGAGGCAATCCAGGTTCAGTTGGCAGACCTGTATGTTGGAGCGCTCCTAGACAAGTGTATCTGACATGACGTGCTAAAAGAGAGTCCCGTTGGGTTGGCAGCAGTGGTAGCACTGGCCAAAGAGAGCCAGGGTGCTTGGAATAAGGTTAAGAATAGCAGGGCACAGGATTTAGGTTGGGAGGCAGAGGGACAGAAGAAAGAACCCTAGGTGGAAGAGGGATAACAAACCAGGAAGAAAAAGGAATTCCCCCAGTAGTGAATGGATGTGACAAGGAAGAAGAGGAATGGGAGGCGGACCCCGGAATAAAGGTGTGGTCCCTAAAGCACGGGTTTTATAAACCCACGCCGGGTAGATATGGCCTGGTCTGCTGAAAGTGCCATTATGAGGGCCACCGTGCAGCAGACTGCCCCACAAAGTTTCCCCACTCTTTTTCCAGATCATGAGGAGGAAAAATGTGCAAGATGTCCAAACAAAAAAGAATGAATGTGAAAAAAAGACTGGAATTAAAAAAAAAAAGTATTAGGTTTCTTTTTAGAGACACCATAAAAATGAATTCAGTGTCTTCAATTGTTTTTACCTGCAAAAATTTGCCCCATAAAGTTCCACCTGAGGGCCACCACTTTGGTCCACTACTGCCACTTGGCCATGTATCCAACATCTTCAATTTTTTTGTTGTTTAAAACAAAATTCATTCTTACAATATTCTTACAGAAATTCCATTTCCACAACTAGAATTTCATTAGGATTTAAGTATTTGGCCCATGAATTATTTGTATCAATCTTCATTTTCTAAACAATACAATAGGCCTTATAAACATTAATAACCATTGAATAACAGGTAATACTACATCTAATGATATATACATAAAGGGGTCAATAAGTCTGCTGCTTGACACAATTATTAGCTGAATTTTAATCTGAAACTTACACTGTATAATGTTCTGTCAGTGCTATCTGAAGATATTGTATTAAGTAATATTTATTTAAAGTAATTGCTTTTTCCATCATTAAGCTATGGACCTATTGATGTAGCCATGTACATAATTAACCTACAAAAAGGCTTATACACTGTAACACTAGTACATTTTGTTTATATGACACAAAAAACTTGATACAGACATTCATCATGGGGACAAATATAGCAGGTTTAACTAGTTGACAAACATGGACATTTTGTTTCATTCATTTTTAAAAGAAAGTAAAAGGAAAATAGATGACACAGGATGTCAACAGACAAATGAGGCAAAGAAAGGATTTAAAAGAAAAAGCAAAATGAGTACCCTCACATCTTCCCATAGAAAGACATTTACATTTTCTCAGTCTGTTATTAAATCCTATCGAATTTCTTTTCAATATACATATATTATGTATGTTGTTAATAAACCAGTTTGGTAGCTATAAACTTACACAGAGAACACTTTGTTTTATTTTGCTTTCTCTCTCATTAATGTTTTTGAGTGAAAAGTATTAGTACATCAAGAAAAATTTTATTTAAATATATTCTCTTTTATATATTGTATATAACCAGTTTAACTTAGTGTAGCTGTTTCATTGGTATTATGTCATTGAACAAACTAATGTTATCAGATTTGATGTTTTTAGGGATTTCTTCTGTTAACAAGCAGAAGTAGATTATTATATGGCAACTATTAAATCAGATAAAAATCATGACTGAATAATTTTGTTCATAATGTTTTGTTTATTTTTACTTATATTCTCATATTTTACCTTTCTCCATTCATAAGTGTATTATTTTCAATATTTAGCAAACAAATTGTATTTAACCTATAAATATGGTCTTTAATAAGATTCAACCCAATTTTTATAAATTCTAATTGATCATTCACTGAAATCCATCAGATAATTTATAACGTAACCATTTATTTCATTTTATCATTTGTAATTCATTCTTCTTCTATGTACATTTATCATTAACTCATTTTTACTCATAATGGTATGTGAATGGGGGAAATAAACATGAAAATATTAAAATTATTTCTTAATTACATATTAATTAGTTGTGATGAGAATGACTATATTTGCCAGTCTATAACATAATTTATTATTGTTCTTTTTGTTTTATTTTTTTTTTTTCTTACTCCTGCTTTTAACAATAGTTTTACAGCTTGATGCAACACTGCAGATACACAGTTGGGCTGAAAACTTCATAGGCTGTCTATGAAGGAGTGATGCTAGAGCTGTAAAAACCTGCATGCATTAATTTCAACTCTTTTGATTAAGTGCATTGTTTCTTTCCACGTAAAGTAATATCTGACTATTCAAAGAAGAGCATTCATTCAGTTGGTTAAAAAAGTCATCAACAGCAGATATGACATCATACATCACTGTGATACTGGTTCCCAGTCATGTTTTTTTGTGTTGGGGAACAGATGGTAATCATTTCATGAGAATAGGGAGGGTAAACAACCAGTTCAAAGGCACAGTCACACACAGCAACCATTGAAACCAAGGACTTATGTGCTGGAGTATTGTCCTGATAAAACAAGACCCCTTTTGTCAGTTTTCCTGAGTGTTTGGTCTTGACAGCCTTTCATAACAGAAAACTGTAATAGTACTCTCAATTGATGGTGTGGCTCTTTTGAAGATAATAAACACAATCCCTCTTGCATCCCCCAAAACTGAGGCCCTCACCTTCCCTGACGATAAAAGTACCTTGGCCTCCTTTGGTGAGGAGGAGTGTTTTCACTGCATGGATTGTCTCTTTGTCACTGGCTCAAAGTGATGAACCCAACACTCATCCTGAGTTAGGAAACATTCAAGGAAACCAGCTGGATCATCTTCAAACAATGTCAGATTTTCCCGTGATGTGCTCAAGCTGTTGTGCTTTTGATCTGCTGTCAGAAGACATGACACCCACTGAGAAGAAACCTTTGTCATGTCACATTCATTGTGCAGAATATTCTCAACTCTCTCATGGATATGCTAATAGAATTGGCAGTTTGATTTATAGTCAATAACCATGTAGTGAACACAATCAATGTTTTCTTTGGTGGTGGCAGTTGCAGCACATCCTGACCTTGGATCATCTTCAAAATTTTCCCTTCCCCTCCTAAATTCAACAGCCCACTTTTGCACTATTGATAAAGCTGGGGTGTCATTACCCAATATAGCAATCACATCAGTATGAGCATCCTTGGGTCTAAATCCTTTTTTCTGCAGGTAACAACACCATGATGCCAAATTTTGTCCATTTTCAAGAGAAATTACTACTAGTTACTTTTGAAGTTTTCTTTGAACAGTCAGATGTCAGTTTATCTGGAAAGTAACAATGCAGTTATTAATAAAAAGCTGAAATTAATGTATGCCAGATTTCACAGTTCTAGCCTCACTCCCTCAGCCTATGAAGTTTCCAGCACACCCTTGTACCAGTGCTGGTTAATTTTTCATACCTTTTTTATTAAGTCTACATTACCAGATAGCAAATATGTTATTTCATATACATTCATTTGCATGTGTATTTTTATACAAAGTGCACTTTTGAAGTTGAATCTGCTTTTTAGAACAAATGCAAATATCAAAAAACAACAAGTATTAATATATATATTTTTATTGCAAACATGTTATTGTTCAGCTCATGTATGTATGTATGTATGTATGTATGTATGTATGTATGTATATGTGTGTGTATTTTTGCGTGTGAGTAAATTTCTGTGTCACAAAAGGAGAAGTTGGAACATGTCCAGACATGCTCAGGTACAAATGCTTTCCTGAATAACATGTTGCAGTCATTCCAGGAATTAAATTGCCTTAAAAAATAATTAATTTTATTTTTATTTTTAATATATCTTTGATCTTTTTTTCCCCCCTTACAGGTTGTTGTCTCATGCCAATGATTCTACTCTCGACCAGAAAACCTGCCAGGAATACATCCTGTACCTCTGCCCAGTTGGGCCTCTACAGAAACAGTTGGCAGACTATTTTGAAAAGACTAGAGTTCAGTGTGGATGGAATGGGGCACATGCTTACTTCCCTCATATCACTCTCTGTCACTTCTTTAAGGTAAATAAATTGTTCTTTTATTTCTTCTTTCCTTTTTAAATGTGTTTCAGACACACCTGAACTGATATGAAGTATGTATACTTCATCTTGAAAAGACAAACAATAGAAATAAACAACTGACAATTAATCACAGGTTGCATGAATCTAATATTGTATCTGTATTTTTTTTATTTCTTATTTTTTTCAATAAAACAAACTTGAGAATATAACTCATGTTTTCATAATTCATTCTTTGATTCCTGCTCTCTTTACTACTCCTATAATGTTCACTTGTACAAAAAACCCAGTACATCCACAAATATGATCATCCCAATGAGAAATCATGCTTAAACATCAGAAGATTGAGATAAACTATAAGACTTAATAATGTTATCAAAGCAAAAGTAAACAGAAAGTAGAAATAGATACAAAATAAGGAATTACTTTTTTCTCTTCTCTAGGCAGAGGACAATAGAATTCCATACCTGACAAAAGCTCTAAATAGAATCCAAGAGAGACTCTTGAAGGCTCCAGGACACCTTGAACTTGAATTTTTTTCACAAGTTAATTTCATTGGACTTTTTGTACACAAAGATTATTATGACTTTCTTGAAGACATTGTTGCCACATATGCTGAAGAGATTCGGAAAGTAGGTAAGAGTTTATCAATCTTTCTTATATACTTTGTATATCTTTTGTATTTCCTCTTTTTTCAGGCCTGCTGTTTGTGTTTTCCTCTCCTATTCTGAATACTCTTCTCAGCACAATCATGTCATTATTCAAGTTTTCTATAAAAGCAAAATTTTAATCAATCAAGTCTTGACTGAAATACAATTAGAATTAATAAAATGTGTTTTATAATTGAATTTTAAGAACTAATGATGGTTTCCTGTTATCTTAGCCATCTGAATTATTAGGGATTTGGTCATTTAACAAAAGAAAATCAAGAAAAAAACTCTTTTCCAAAAAAAAAAATGTTAAAATTCAACAGCCAATAAAAAATACTTAAAAATTCAGTTGAAGAAATCCTTTTTACTACAATTGTGGTGGTTACAGTTTGAAAGTTTCCTACATAAATCAACTGAATCTTACTTGTGGAGTCATTTTTGATCAGTGCTGAGGATTTTTATTTTTCATCCTGTTATAATATTAAGATTTAATATTTGATTTAAAGTTTTCATTTTTTATTTTTTATAAAACATTTTTTTCTGAAATATTTTCCTTGAAAAAATTAAAATTATGCATCAAGTTTGCTTCAAGTAAATTTTGTCTTCTCTTTGAATAAATCATCACAGAAAACCATTATTAAACACAAGAACACTATCAATATTTCAGCATTTCTTTTAGTCCGTGAAATTGTAAAAAGAGAAGTTGAGATTCTCATGAATGCTAGAATAGCTCACATGATGTCTGCATTCAATTGTGCTATCAATTTAAAGATTTTTTTTTTTCACTTATTTTTCCCATATTAGGAAAAACTCTTTCCTAAGTAATCAATCTAGTTCAGGATTTGCCAACATGTTACATCCTTTCTTATTGTAACTGTTTTCTATGAGGGATAATCTTTGTCTTGATGCTCTTATTTCAGGTGTAGTAATGGATCCACATCGTCAACAGCTGCACATGACACTTGCATACCAATATGACAAAGAGCAGCATGAACGACTGCTTAAGTTTGCCAAAGAAGTGGATTTAAATGCTGATGTTAAATGGGAACTGCGATTATATTCTCGAGATTCACGTGCAGGAGAATGTGAGGTAAATATATTCGTTGTTGTGACATTTTATCAACCAGTTTTTATATTTTTAAACGGGAGATTTTTTTTTTTTTTAAATTACCAGTTGTTTTTCTCTTGTTACCAACTACACTCAACTCATTTCAATAAGAGATTTCTTCAGATCAAAAATACAAGACTGGATAGGCTGGTGGGCAGAGAGGGACAAAGTCAGTAAATGGAATAGATTCCTGTATTTATTTATTTATGTTTGTCCTATTTTTGAAAAGAAGTACTTTTTTATATTTTCAATTTATCTTTTCCTATATAATCTTTACCAAAACAACTTTCTTAGGCAATGTGGAAAGAGTGTTTTTGACAAAGACCTTTAATCGTCAGTCCTATGGTTTAAGTGCTCACTAGTGTTTTACACTGATATTTTTTTATTTCCTATCTGATCTTTTATTATTCCAGTTTACATCTGAAACTTCTCATGCCACAAGTAACATTAGATTTTTTTCTCCCAAATTAGGTAGTGCCGCATTATTTTAGGTAATAATTGAACTGTTTCATTTGTTACTTTATGCATTTCTTTTCCCTATGCTGTACACATTCATTAAACTAATAAATGAAACTCTCAATCAAAAAAAATCAAATCTTAATACAGTGTTGATTTACATTAATTTAACATTTCATTATGCATATAATCTTGTCATAGGATGTAAATTTTAAAGAAAACAAAGGCAAGTACTAAATATAACTTTGTTTAGAGTTTCTCAGTTTTTACCTTTTGCAACAAATTTGAAGGCAATGTTTTGGGCTTCTTTGTTGATCCAGGTTGGGTTATACCAAAATATTTTTATATAAAAATTAAAATATTTACTTACATAACTTATTCAATTAGTCATATTAGTTTAAAGTTTTCCTTTTTTCCTCTCTTCATTCATACCATAAGGTTCGTAAAGTAACACGTAGCTGCTTATCCCCTTCTTCTGATGATGAGCTTGAGCTTGTCGAAGGTGACTACGTACTGGCTGATCCTCATGAATTGAATGGCAGCAAAAATGGATGGTGTAAAGGAATTTCCACTGTGACTGGCAACATTGGCATGTTTCGTATTTCCTGCACAATACGAGCATCTGAAACTTCAACGTGGACTTTACACAAGTAAGGTTAATCATTTCTGATGTTTCCACTTACTAAAATGTCAGCAAAAATAATACATTTTCTATATTTTAATTTTTCCCTAAGTTTCTCTCAATTATATTTGTCTATAATTTATTTGGACTATTTGAAAATGAACCTATCATTTAGTCAAATCAGTTGATATGAGTTAATATCACTGGATTATTTTTTAATAGAAATATGCATCTGGTATTTTAGGTTTGAGGCTTTGCTCTTAAACAAGTAGGTGATTCTTTTTTTATTAGTAATTTTAAACTAGTAATAATTATAATTTAATAATGCTAGATCAATCTCTTGAGGTATATAGTAAAACCTGGCTTAAAAATCTCTTAATATATGATTGTGACAAAGTAGTGTAGAAACAAATTGAAGACATTGGTGTTTACACTATAGGTAAACACCAATGTCTTCAATTTGTTTCTACACAATTTTTCTCTACAAGTAAAATGTAAGATTGTTTTCTAAAAAAAAGACCTGTTTTGTCAATTTTATTCTTTCGTTGTAAGAAGAACTTTTAAAGTCTATTTCTGATTTTCATGTGTTCCTTTTTGCATTCAGATCACTTTCTGTAGTTCCAGTTAATAATATGTTTAATGGTGTGAATGAAGGCGACTATGACAATTTGTGGCTTGGGGAGCAAGATGAAGAATTTAACAAGGTTTGTGCTAATTTTAAACAAAATCATTCAATTTACTACTGTTTTTAACTCTAGTATTTGAGCTGTAGTCTTACCATCAACAAAGCTGTATATATGTCCATGTATGTGTATATCTTTACAGCAAAGGTAAACTCCTCACTCTATAGAAGAAAAACTCAATATGATAGTCTTCTGAAATGCAGTATTGTGCTCAAGATGAAAATAAGGTGAAATCTGTTCCTCTATGGTTGAATAATAAAACTTTCCTGACAGTGCAAAAAAAAAAGACTCAAATTAGCTAAAATCTGAACAGAATCTTTTGTAGACAGATTCATTACTAAAGAAATACAAATGACTGAATAAGAAACAAAACTTTTTTATAAGCACCACTTCATTTCTCATGAGTCATATATATGACTTAAGACTTACAATGCTAGAAGGTCCATATATTTGTTAGTCTGCCAGAATATCATATTTTTTTTTGTTAATTGAAAGTTTTACTCAATATTTAATTTCTTAAATATTGATTACATTCATTTGTGGTTTGAATTTATCAGCTTCTTTTCTGTAAGTACATATAAATGTTTTCTTTGAATTTTTGAGAGCTCTTTTGCAATTAATATGACTAAAAATTCAAATTTCTATGTAAAGGATCTTTATCTTTTTATTTTTAAATTTAAATTTAAAAGCAAAGGTAATGTTTTATATTCAACACTTATTTAAATTTTACACACATTTTGTTTGAAATAATTTCCTTATCTCTGATTTCTCACTGCTTTTGAAGTGGAAAAAAATTAAAAATAAGAATAAAAGTAGTAATGATAAAACTACAGTATTCAGATATTGTTTACTTATCATAAAACAAATGGTTTATTTGAATGTTAAATATTAATATTGAAAATTAATTAATGATTTTTTGAGTATATCCCTGAGAAAAAACTTTGGAATAATAAAATGTAAAAAACTATATTCTTGTAAAATCTTATGGAATTTCTGTTACATAAAGTTATCATCAAATAAAATTTGATCACAATTATTCTGTTGATATTCACATCTTTTTTTTCTTTTCATTTTAATAATGAACTAAGAATGTTAAATGCTCTGAATGATAATTAGAGTAAAAAAGGAAATTGATAAAATAAAAATGATTTAAATACATTTAGTCAATTTATTCAAAATTATAACCGTTTTATAATCAGTGTCTACAAAAGAATATGGTTCCATTTTTGAGAGGCAAATTCATTAAATAACAATTAGATTGAGAGCATAATTAACTGATCTATTTTTTGTTAGTCTTGGTCATTTAAAAATAGTTTTAATAAAAAGTTTAAAAGATTTTCTAAGGCTACTGTTAGAAGATATTGCATAAAATCATCTTAATTCATTTCATACTTATCTTCAATTTTGCTCAAGATAAATCAAGATCTTTTTATACATATCCAAGACACTTGTTTAAAAAGCTATTAGAAAAGCTTCAAATTAAAAATTTCAATTGATTTCAGGTGCTGAAGAATAAGAAGATTGATGAGTGTAAAAATACACCAAGAGAACCTCGACATTTGTTTGTGATGCGACATGGAGAACGTTGTGACTTTGCCTTAGGAAGAGATTGGGTTGACTCCTGCTTTAATTCTGCTGGTAAGACAACAATTTAACAGTCAGAAATATTTAGAATGCTATTTTTTTTTTTCCTATAATGGAAATATAATATTTATTTTGCTTCATTTTAAATAATACTAGATTCCCTTACAAAATTTATAAGCACTTAATTTTTAAAAAAGAAACATTATTATCTGAAATTTTCATAACTTCACAAAATAGTCCTTGTGAAAAATATTCATTTTTTATACCAATCTTCATTTAGCTTCATTACATTTACATTTTGTAACACAAGCTGCAGAAAAGCAATATACAGCTGTGTTTGGCTAAATACTGGCAATAACAAATATATGTAAATATTGTAAAAAGTCTGCCATATATGAAATATTACAAGATACTTATTGATTCTTACCTACAATATGAATAATCCTTTACACTTCCTTCAGATTCCAAAGAAATTCTGACAAATGGACTGTCAATTATAATTATTTTCTGTTTTATTAAAATATATGAAATACTTTTATAGTTTTAAACTGCAAAAGAATCACTGAATTTCTTTCGGCCATATGAGTTGAAATAAATGTTTTCTGTTTCTCATTGCCAGAATTCCTAGAACTTTCAATATATCTTAATAGTGTCACAAGTGGGCCGAAGCTTCGAAGTATAATCAAATTTTCTCTGATGACCCCAGCTGCTGTGTCATAAAAAAATTTATATTTATGTCGGATATTCTATACCCAGGTTGGCTCAGGGATGTGGTTCAGGTATAATCATGGGTTCAAACAAAATTTGGTTAACAGAAAGAAAGCAGCAAAATAAAGGTAGCAACGATTTATCCAAATAAATGAAGATAAGACGATCATAACAATAACAAAACAATTTAATTTGTAACTTGAGGGAAATAGATTTAAGAGTGGAGATAGTTTTGAGGTGTGATGGAATAAAAAAATGTTTTGAAATTCAATGTTCTAGTGAATTAATGTTCACATAAGGAGGAAAGTTATAGAGAGTGATATCTCAGACATTTCAATGTAGAAGGCAATATTCTACAAAAGAAGATTATTTTTTTTACTTAGTTTTCTGTCCATTAGTTGCAATCCATCTTCTTCGTTTTGCCAGGCGTCTTCTACTAATTGTTTTTTTGTTTTTTTCGCAGAGCGTTTTTAATACTCTTTTTCTTTGTTGCCATGGATATGAGCGTTTTTAAGACTCTTTTTCGTGGTTGCCACGTCACAATAGACACTTGAAAGTGTGAAGATCAAACTTTCTTGTGTCTATTAAAGCAGAAATTTATAAGTTAGGATTTAAAATTTTCCTTTCAAATAACCAAAATAAGAAATGGAATGTTACAAAGTGAATATTTATGATACAGAGCTAACTGTTATATTGTGTGGTTCTAACATGTGATCAGCAGTCAACTCCTACCTTGTCTCTTAGTTTTGCTATACACTTTATATCTCTTCTACTTAAATATGCAAATACATACAATCCTATTTACCAATCCACTGCACCTCCCTGAACTAAAGAGGTTTAATGTCTTTGGGAGTTCTTGAACTTTTTATACAATTCCTCTCCCCCATGAGGTTTATGTCCTGTTCTTTTTAATGGAGATCTTGGTCTCATTTCATCTTCTTCCATTGTCTTAGTAATTCCTGCTATCATCCATAGGCTTGTCTTTTATTGCATTGTCCTGATGTGAAGAACTCTTCTCTGTCAAGGTATTCTTCCATCACAACATCTTCCTCTTCAATTCTGGGTCTTAATTGGTCAGAATGTGCCATTAGGCTTTTTCTTTTCTTTGATATAATGGCCATGTTATGTCCCCTTTGCATAATGAAATTAACTGTCTCAGTATTTGCTACTTTGTCTTTCTTATACCACATCCTTTCATTTGTTGAATAAGTCACTGTTAATGGAGATATTATTTGTCTACCCATTAATGCAATGTGGAAGTATCCTATAACTAAGCAGTAATCTTGGTAAATAACCGTCTATAATACCTATTAGGGAAAATACTTTTAATCCAATTTTTACTGTCTGCACAATTCTTTCCACAATCCCATTAGATTGTGGGTGATACAGTGGTGTTTTATAAGGGAAGCAGCCACTCTGTCTCAACCAATTACATAGATCTTCATCACAAAATTCTGGTGCATTGTCTGATACCAATGTTTTTGGGACCCCATTTCTAGAAAATATCACTCTTAGTATTGGTTTTATTGTAGTCATTTTTCTATCCTTAACTTTAACAAACTCAGGCCATCCTGAAAAGGAGTTTACTAAAATTAGAAATAGTCCCATGCTATTAATGTGTGCATGGTCTATATGAATGCACGATCATGGTTAAATTGTAACATTGACAACACATCAATATGTATTTCCTTTTATGTGCTCAATGTCAAAATAATAAGCTATTAATTGTATGGCCCATCTTAGAAACTTGGTAGAAGTTACTTTTGGTAGCTGCTTTCTAGGGTTAAAAATAAACTCTAGAGTCTCATCTAACTTTAATAGAAACTTCTTGCCCAATAAGAATTGTCAAGCTCTGTCTGTGCTCTAGACAATGGCCAATGCCACTTTTTTAATATTTGAATAATTTATTTCTGCTGTCATTAATCTTCTTGAAAAGTACATTATTGGATGGTGTTATGCTGTGGCAAACGAAAAATTTTTTTTCTTCCACCAAATGAGTTCGAATCCTCGTCGCCACTGTTATGGTCCGGTTCCTTGTACCATGGTGATAGTCCAAGGTAGAACTAATAAAGAAGAACTCTAAGGCGGATATGGAATAACACAGATATATTACAAAACAGAAATTTATACAGAGAGGTAGAAAAGTGTTAATATTTAACAATCAGGTTTAGCAATAATTGTCTGAACACACTCTGTTTCAGACTGCCTCTTAACTGACTGACTTGCTCTCTGACTGACTGACAGACTGCTGATGGACTTGACTTCAGACGGAACTCCAGACTTCAGATAAAAAACTCCCTGCTTCCTCTTTTGAAATACAGTATTTATTATGGTAAAATAGTCCATTAACATATTATGGGTAAGGTCCCCAACAGATGGGCATCTTAAACAATAAAGTTGTTGACATTTTTTTATATTGCATCTGTAGTTAATGTAACCTCCTTTCTGGGATCAAAGATTTTTACAATCACTTTTTCTGCAAGTATTTCTTTTAAACCCTAATGCTAAGCTTGGCCTTTGAGTCCATTTGGACTTGTTATTCTTTTTCAGTTCAACAAATAGTTCTATTAAGTTGCTGTATTTTAGTAGATATATATAATAAAATTAACCAATCCTAAAAAGGACTCTAATTCTTTTTTATTAGTCATATAGATACCTCTGAAATTTTCTTAATTAACGTTGAATCTAGTGCAATGCCATCTTTTGAAATTTGGTACCCTATTTGTCTCTGTTTATTGTCATCCCAGCATTTTTTAACTTGTTTTACACATTCTGTTTTTTGTTTTAATTCATCAAGGCAAATATCATCTTGATAAATTATAATATTACTATTTTTGTCAGTTAATACATTTTTTATTGATCTCTGAAAAATGACACTTGCAGTTTTCATTCCTAAAAGCATTTTAGTCCATCTTAATAATCCTATGGGCAAACATTTCATGCTTGATAATTTGTGGATAGCAGATTCAATACAGGAAATAGGAAAAGAGTCCTGAACATATTTTATGATTTATGCCTATCTTAAAATCACTGTATATTCTTAAATTGCTGTCTGCTTTTCACAAGGCTAAAATGGGAGAGGCTCATTTACTGCTACCTAGAGGAACATGCTCCAAAATTTCATCCTCTATAACTTTATTTAACCTAGCAATTACAAAAAGTAGAAGGTAAGTAGGTAATTTACAAGATTCAAAATAAGACTGTGTACAATTTTCATTTAATTGTATGCCCACTTTATACCCCTTTAAAACTCCTGTTTTTTTTTCTGATATTATGTTACTGATTAATTTCAACATATTGAAATTCATCTATACCTAGTAGTTCATGATTTTTTTTTTTTACATTCCGTTACTGTAATGTGAATAATTTCAAATTGGTTAGAGGTTTCAAAAGTTCCATTGAAGTATCCCAAAGATTTTATAAAAGATCCATTATATTGTCTCAATTTCAGATGACTTTTCCTGAATTTTAGTTTACCTATTTGTTCCAGGAAATTCTGTGCTTCAGAGTGACTTCACTTCCTATATTCACTTGCATTGGAAACATCATGATATTTAATTTAATTTTTTTTTTTAATTCTTTTCCTTGGGTCTTGTATTGAAAAAACATCATCAATTCTCACTTTTTCTATACTGTCTATTTTCTTAACTTTTCATACAGACTGAAAATGATTTTTTTCTTCTGTAGTTATGGCAATATTTCCAAAAGTAGGGCACTTTTTCTTCTCAATTTCATGCTCATATTTACAGTATTTGCATTTCTTGCATTCTCTTTTTCTCCTGTACATTTCAGCATTGCCCTCAGTCAAGCATTTTTTATCAATTCCAGCTATTGTATAACTTTTACACATACAGTTAGAAACATATTCAATTGTAATTGTTCTAATATATATAAATATATTTATGAAATGTATCAGTTATACCTTCAATCAACTACAATTGAATCAATTCATCCTCAATAGTCAAATATTGAGTTCCAAGTTTCTCAAATTTGCAGAATCTGCTATTTTTTCTTAATTTGTGATTCATCTTGTTTCTATTTAATGGACAGATGTTTTTGATAATTTTGAATGTATTATACTTCTTGGCATCGACATATTTATAGAAAATATGTAAAGAAAATGCAAATTTATTTGTTGGTAGTTTTGCAACTATGCACAAGGGTAGATCAATAAGCTCATGTAGTTATTTGAATTTTGTTCTGAAATTTTCATTGTATAATATTTGATCTGTGTAATTAATATTAATCACTAAATTAATTGCACTGACAAGTGTTATAGACAAGCGTATGGTTGCAAGAAAGAAATACGACAACAGCAGAAATAGATTTACGTGGTTTATTTCAGC